AAAATGACAGAGACAGAGAACATGTGTTATGAGATTAGTTAAGGGAGAGAAGGTACCAGGCTCCGAGAGGCCTGCCTGTGCTTGGTATGCTCTATTCTAATGAAAGATAACAAAAAGGTTGGCTTAGTAGTCATAAATTAGATAGAATGGACATTTGGGGGGGTGAAGAGCTGAGTAAAGGGGTTTTTAGCAAGACTTTAGTACGTAGCCAGGAAGAGTTGGAAAGTTCATGACGAAGAAGAGAAAAGAAACAACCCTCATGAGGCTGAAGAAACAGGAACGACCCCCAGAAATCTCCCCAAAAGGATGACTCCACCTCAAGCTCCGCCTGAACCCTGCCTAATATGAATATTATAACGAGATGATGTAATTTTAATGAATATTCATGTAAAATATTGTAATCTCTCACCAAAACTGTATAAATTACCTGACTTTTCACTGAGAACTTTAAAGCTAGTTTGTGCAGCGATAGCTACCTAGCGCCCCAACGTTGCTCGAAATAAATACCTTTGCTGCTTAAAGTCCAAATTTTGTCTCTGAGCAGTTATTTTCTGCTGGTTTTGGCATCAAGGGTGAGGCTCCAGAACACCTGCAGTACATTGATGACATCATTGTATGGGGCGACACAGCAGAGGAGGTTTTTGAGAAAGGAAAGAAAATCATCCAGATCCTCCTGGGAGCCGGTTTTGCCATCAAACAGAGAAAGGTCAAGGGACCTGCCCGAGAGATCCAGTTCCTGGGGGTGAAGTGGCAAGATGGACGTCATCAGATCCCGACAGAAGTCATTGATAAGATCACAGCAATGGTCCCACCAACCAGCAAGAAGGAAACGTAAGCCTTCCTGGGTGCCACAGGTTTCTGGAGGATGCACATCCCTGAGTACAGCCAAATTGTAAGCCCTCTATCTGGTAACCTGCAAGAAGAAAGATTTCCATTGGGGCCCTGAAGAGCAGCAAACATTTGAACAAATTAGGCAGGATATTGCCCACACTGTAGCCCTTGGGCCAGTCAGGACAGGGCCAGATGTGAAGAATGAACTCTATTCTGCAGCCAGGGATAATGGTCCTTCCTGGAGCCTCTGGCAAAAGGTGCCTGGCGAGACCCGAGGTCGTCCATTTGGATTCTGGAGCCGAAGCTACAGAGGATCTGAGGCTAACTACACCCCAACAGAGAAGGAGATCTTAGCAGCTTATGAAGGAGTACAAGCTGCCTCAGAGGTGATTGGCACAGAAGAACAGCTCCTCCTAGCACCTCGATTACCGGTGCTGAGCTGGATGTTCAAGGGAAAGGTGCCCTCTATGCATCATGCCACTGATGCTACATGGAGTAAGTGGATCGCTCTGATCACGCAGCGTGCCCGTATTGGAAATCCGAATCACCCTGGGATCCTAGAAGTCATCACGAACTGGCCAGAAGGTGAGCACTTTGGTCTAGCAGATGAAGAAGAAGGAGAGCAGGTGGTACGGGCTGAGGAAGCCCCAGGATACAATCAACTACCAGAAGAAGAAACAGGCTATGCCCTTTTTACTGATGGTTCCTGTCGCATTGTAGGGATGAAATGTAAATGGAAAGCAGCTGTATGGAGCCCCACACGACAAGTTGCAGAAGCTACTGAAGGAGAAGGGGAATCGAGCCAATTCGCAGAGCTCAAAGCTGTCCAGTTGGCATTGGACATTGCTGAATGGGAGAAGTGGCCAAAGCTTTACCTCTACACTGACTCATGGATGGTGGCCAATGCTCTGTGGGGGTGGTTGGACAGATGGAAGAAGGCCAATTGAAAATGTAAAGGGAAACCCATCTGGGCCGCTGATATGTGGCAAGACATTGCTACCTGGGTAGAGAAGCTGATTGTTGTTTATTCAGATTTTGTTAATAAAAAGCTGTTCTTTTCCTTTTCTGCACTTCCACCTGAAGTTTCTTAATTTCTAAGTTGTAATCTTACACATAGACACATAGCTAAGCAGAAAATGATCTGAGAATAACCAGCTTATTAGAAGACGACTTTTATTATCTCTGATGGTTTGCTTCATTAACCTGTTGATATCAGACACAGATTAGACTAAGTTTTTTGCTCCCTGGAACTTGAAATATTTCATTTGGGCCCAGAGACACTGCTGCAAAACAAATTACATACAAAATGGCTGTTCACTTAGGGAATTTGATAAACCAAATACAGAAAAGAAGTTCCAGAATCAACTTTTAGGCAACTTCTAGAAACAACCTGTTTCTGAACAAAACAATTAATACATCTTATTTGCTAGCACTATTACTAATATCCAGTAGTACCTTATTAGATTTCATGTCCTACAATGCTAGGTGTACTGAAGAGCACTCTGGTAAACCTGACTATAGTGCCAGTGCACAGAAGTGAGAGTTAGTAATCTGAGCAGAGACACAAGAGAAGAAAGAGAAGACAGATGTGATTTCTCTGAAGCTACACAGCAGATCCAGGGTTTCTAATTCAGTTTTTCTGATTCCAAGACGAATATATCTACCAACTCCAGTGACTGAATAGACTATAATCTAAACAAAAGTTTATTTTCCCTCCATCACATATGCTTGTTAATTTCACAATAACACAAAAAGTTTTGCCTTTATGAATTTTAGTAGCATTTATCAGCAACTTTAATTCACATGAAAATCACAATTTTATAATTAAGATATAATGCAAGGGAAACAGTTTGCTGAAAAGGTCCTGAAGATTCATCACCATAAGCTTCTGAAAAGGCCCATGACTTGGAAATTTTCTCAACAAATCTGTGTATTCTTCATAAATCACAGCAATCTAACTGCTGATCAAATGTGTACTTAAGACAAAATACTGTAGCTTTTCAGATTATTTTTTTACGACAATATAAAGTTTTGAGCCAAGGACATACTAAAAACTCTTAGACATCAGTTTGAGGGCAGCAAAAAAATGGGATTGAAACAACTGAAATTAAGGAGGAAGTAAGTATCACTCGGGGAGAGCAAGGAAAAAGTGAAGGAAAGGACAGATGAAAAAAATCAAAATATTTTCACTGGCAAGGACAACCCAGTGTTGGAAGGCAGGCAAACACAGGCTATGCATGACTACAGCATGATACTTTGCCTTCAAAGAAACATTCCATGACTAAGAAAAACAATTTAATATATGAGAGGTAAACTAAATGAGGATTTATACTAAATCTTTTGAAATATTAAAAAAAGTTATTAGCATGTTGGCAAGCATCTCTAGGACATACGCATCAATTTCAATAAATGACAAAGTTTTTAAGTTCAACAAAGCAATGACGTGTACAAATGCACATGCATATACTCAATGTCACTCAGAATTTCCTGGGGGTGTGCTGCTTCATAGAAATTAAAGCTATCAGATTATGAAAGGAAGAAGTTTTAAAAGTGTATCATGCTGTCCAAATAAAGCAGATGCACTGGTTCTCTTTTTAATGGCTTTCTGACAGGCCCATGATTAGCCTTGGACAGTGACAATTACTTTCTCAAAAGGGCCAGTACGATTTTTTTGTTTATTTAGGGTTTTTTAATAAAAAGCCAATCATTATCTCTTACTCAAGCATTTATTATACATTCATTTTTATTGCATTGGGGTTTCCAGATCTTTTGTATTTCAAATATGAAAATTCTCTGCTTAATGTAGAAACATATTTTTAAACTGAAAATGGAATTCCTCATCTGGAGAACAACACCACTGGCTTTTACAGGTTCCTGGACTCATCTACCAAAGGGGTATTGATGCCTTAAACCCCTAAAGGTTTTTTTTATTTTTCTACCTTATAAGTTCTATAGGTAATAGAAGTAGATTTTAGAAGCAACCCCTTTCTCCCCTTCCCCGTAGCACCCCTTAGTTTATACATTCCTTTCTCCCTCTTACCCCATTCCATACTCCCCATATCAACCCTACCCCCATATCCAGTAGAAGATGTTTAGTCTCTTGTCAAGGCAAGCCTGTCTTGTTTGGGGAACGCTTGTATCTTGGCCTAAACCGCAGGACAGAGTCAAAGAACTGGGTGACTCTGCTCTCTGTACCCCAAAGATGATGAAGGATGATGAAGAGAGGGTCCCGAAAAGCCCCCAGACCCAATTCCGGGAGGTGGGCCAGGGGGTGGACCAGGCCAAAAGTTATAGGGTGGACACACTTGGGATTGGCCAGATATTGTTATAAATGTAACATCTTGGACACAGCCCGCGCGCGCATCGTGTAACATCTCTTGCCTTGGCACTATTAAATCCTTTCCTTATCTCACCCCAACTAACAGCTCCTGGATTTTTTTCTAAGCACCAGCTGAGCAGGCATCAGTATCAATAACAATAGAGATTGTAGAAAGGGTGCTCACAGGAACCATACCATCACTTTAAGTAAAAGGAGTTACTGCTTTCCTTGGATTAAGGTGGACTTCCCTCCTGCACAAGTAGACCACAAAAAACACTCGTAGGGAACTGAGTTTCTTTAGTAAAACTGTCAACTTTTGTATTCCAACAAGAAAATGTAGTTTTCTTTTACATTGAATATTTTTCTCAATAGCTTTATTTTAAGCTTGCACATGTTGAAATATCTGTAATTTGATGCACTACACAGCAAAAAAGTGAATGTGAATGTGGCTTAAAAGACAAAAATGCATCAGAAGACTATCAACAGTTGTTTTCTAGGAGATCTAAACACAGAAGAAACACTACATAGTCTACTTTAAATTCTATAATGAAAAACTGTAATGGAAAAACAACTTTAAGGAAGAGAAACTTAGTAACCTAACAAATGAATACCTAGAAAGAATTAACAGTGTACACTGATAACCTGAATCTCCCTACTTTCCTCAATCAGTTTAAAGAAAATTCATAGGCAACAGTGTTATAACAATAGTCTTGTCTTTTTACATTATAAGGATGGATACAGAACAATTATTGTAAACTATTTTAAAATAACAACAGTAGTGAGCACTGAGTCAAGATACAAACAGCAAAAGTATTTGATTGGCCAAATAGTTGTCATTAGTCATACTTACTTTTGAAAGGTGATGTTCAGATGAAAATCCCAAGCCATAGACTGTATTTGCCCTACTGTCTGCCCATTGGCCAAACTTCTGGGATGTTTTTGTAAATGTCATGTTGGGGGTGATAGTGCTATTAATTATTGCCTGAAAAAAAAAGCAATAGTGTTAAAAATGGGGTTCTGTTTTTTTGATTTTTTACAAAAGATACTCAATATTTGAAAATGCCAGTATTACAGAGAAGTATCTCTGCACACTGAGACAAACGTGCAACTAGGGAACAATTTCTAATTCAATCACAGTTAAAATTACAAAACCATATATTGGCATACATTCTGTAAAAGGAGCAAAAGGGGAGGGGCATCTCTGCAATTACAAGTAGTCATTGAATAGTCAGCAAGTCTAAAAAAGAGTCCTTTAAAGCATCCACATAGGCTAATAAGATCACAAGAACTAGTGAAGTTGTCTTTTGTCTCACAAGTGTATTTCTTTGTTCCCTAAAGCAATGCCTCTCACGATCCATTTTAAGTTCCACCGTTTCCTTCCCCCATTGCATATGCAATACTCACTGAAAAACATGTGATAAAACAAGAAGCAGAATTTATTTTTAAGCTTTTGCATTGCGCAAATCTGGTTTTTCATTTATACATATACAAACATGACTAACAGTGACAGGGTCATACACCAACTACAGAAGAAGGTGGGATGGGGAAGAGAATCAGAAAAAGGTAAAACCCATGGGATGAGATAAGAACACTATAATAATTGAAACAAAATAAAATATTTTACCACTACTACTACTAATGATTATAATAATGACAATAATAATAATTGCAATTAAATTGAGAGGATGAGAGATGACTAAGACTCAAGAAAAACAAGTTGTTTTTTCAAAAGAAAATACAATTGCTGATTGATGCCCAGCCAGTCCCCGAGCAGTGATCAGCCCATCCCAGCCAACTCCCCCCAGTTTATATACTGAGTGTGACAGGAATATCCCTTTGGCCAGTTTGGGTCAGATGTCCTGGCTATGCTCCCTCCCATTTTGTGCACCTCCTCACTGGTGGAGCATGGGAAAATGAAAAATCCTTGACTTAGGGTAAGCATTACTTAGCAACAACCAAAACATCAGCGTGTTCTCAACATTATTCTCATACTAAATCAAAAACACAGCACTGTACCAGCTACTGAGAAGAAAATGAACTCTATCCAAGGCTAAATTAGGACACATGCCAGTTATTGTGCTCCAAAGGTTATTGTCAACATGGGTCCTACTGTCTCACAATACAGAGTTGGGAATCTTTTGAACATCAGTGTGCATGTGCTTTGTTCTGCTTCCATGAAACCATAACCCCTGCCGTACTCCCAGGAGTTCAAAGCCAGTGATTACTGTAGAATCCTAGAGCAGCAACAAAATTCACAGGGTCCAAACCAACTTCTCTGTTGATATAAAGAAATCTTAGTTTTATTCTTTGAATAGCAGGAACTGGACTGACGCATAGACAATAACAACGTTTTCTCAGGATGGTAACAGTGAGAAACTTCAGCATCAGAGAGACTGTGTGGGAACAAGTTAAGCGAGCAGCACCTGCATTCAGTTAATTAGGATCAAAACGGAGTGTTTTGGCCTTGACTGGTGTTTTTGATAGAGTGCTGTGTTCTCAAAGTGGAACACGGCTTAATGGTCTGCATGCTCTGCGTGTCTTTCCTGTGGCTGAAAACAGTCAAACGTGATCCGAGTGTGAATGTGTGGAGTCAAAACACCAGCTTAGCAAGATCCTGGGAATTCTGGTTAACTGAATGACGACACCAGGTGCTGTTTACAAAGGAACCCTGATAAAAGGGGAACGCTGAAAAGGATTGGCGGACAAATCCCGAAATCAAACTCTGGGTGGTGTGCAGCTCCATTTCTTCTCAATGCCCATATTTGCCATTTCTGGTGACCTCGACGTGCGACCTGCGTTACAGGACCCTTTTTCAGCGCCCATGACTCAATGGAGGTGGTGCCAGCATTTCATCCCATTAGTGGAGCCTGCAGGACAGGAATCTGTGGAGTCATCTAGTAATACTGGGGCAGGAAATTTCCCAAGAACACAGACTTTATTTAAAGATTTTGCAACGGATACTGAATGCAGCAGGACATAAGGTTACAGATGAGCAATTGGAACATTTTCTTTTGTGCATGCTTTGCAACTGTTGAGAGTAACAGAGTCTGATATAGGGACGAAGGGACAATGATGGCAATATTATATTTAAATTTGGACACCTTGAAAATACACTCTTTTAGACTTGTTGGATGACCTCTTCGGGGAGAAGGAAAATGTATTACCTGCCGTTTCTATCTGCTCTGCTGATTGGCCTATTTATATCCCCCACTGATGGGGGTTTTAGGACCTCTGGTGAGGGGTCTGTCTCCTGCCTGTAATCATGGTAATTTACCTCCTGCAGGGGCTTCTCCTGCCCCGTCCTTAATCATGGCACTTTTCACGAAAAGTAACTGCTTTTGGCTGCCAGGCCGCCGCGTGGGATGCCACTAGGGGCAGCGGGGCCTGAGTAGCGGCAGGGGCAGCGAAAGGAATCGGTGCCGCCCAACACTACCCCCCATCCCACCTCCCCCCTGCGACCCGCCCGGTGCCGCCACATGGTGTGCCGCGGGGGTACCCCAGCGGCAGCTGTGGTGGCAGCGGCAGCCTGAAAAAATCACCGCCCAGCCGCTTTTTCCCCCCCACCCCTCGCCACCATGGCGGCCCCCCGCCCCCCCCCCGAGCCTCCTAGCTCCGCGGTTGCCAACGTGTCGGGCCTGAATTTCAACCACGAAACCGAAAGAAGAGGAGGAAGGAGAGAAAGAAAGGAAGGGGAAAGAAAAAAAAAAGAAAAAAAAAGGTGGGAGCTTGGATGCATGAATCATCTGAAGAATGGACACACAGCATTGGAACCATTGAATCTATTTGATAATTTAAGTGCCTATAACTTTGTTCTTGGTAACTTTAAAAGGGAAGTTATTTATACAGTGTTTTGTGCTTTAAACCAACAAGCACCTAGTCCTAGGTACACGTGTACAATTAGATGCACTCACGCACATGCCATAGTCGAGATTTAAAGAAAAAAGTTAAGAATAATACTATAATTGAGAAAAAAAATGTTAAAACTTCAGATTGATTGATTGATTTATGCCTGTGTCAGGGACCTGAGTCATGTCTGAGACTCTGCCATAGTTGGTCCGTGGTTGTGCTCGTCCATGTGGCATGGGAAAATATTGTATAGTTTCACTGTTGGGAACTTGACTTTTGGAAAAGAAACAACAGAGCCGTTGTTGGCACGGAGTTGGTATCATAAGCCATTGTGGTCTCAGTTCGTGCACTGGCCACGTGTGAGCCGATGTCACAATTGGAAAATTCCACTCCTGTGAGGGGGATATGGGAGGTGGTTCTGGGCTGAACAGGGGGGAGGACGATATGCACACTGCTTTGATCCAGGGGATGCCCTGAAAGGTGCATTGCCTGCCTGCCCCTCCCGCCTAGTACCACGCTCCATCTCCTTCTCCTGCTCAGCAGCTTTTCAGAAATTCGGGGTCGATATGTATTAATTGCTATCGCAAGTAATAGGATAAAGTTGCTTTGCTTACACCCTTTGTGTCTCAGTGTTTGTGATTTTGGGAATCCTCACGAACCTAAAACAATGCCAGATTATTTGTTGTCTTAAATTATGTACATGTAGATTGTTTTGATATGTGTTTAAATCTTCCTCGAAAATACAACTGATAGAAAACAATGTAACAAAGAAAAAGAAAAGACCAAAACCTCTTAAATATAATCTTATCTCCTGTGCCCATCCCAGGTGCAAGAAATTTGTACTCTGTATTAAAAACCATACTTTTAAAACAAAAAAGGGGGAATATGACACCCCTGGAGCAATTAGACAAAGCTGTATTTGCCTTTAATTTTTTATGTTTGGATTAATAAGTATTGTACAAAAACCCACAAGAAGATACCTAATGACAAGGTCCTATCTAGTTGTTAGTATGGGGAAGCGGTATGCTTGTGTTTTGTCTCCCACAGGCTTCCAGCACATTTGATGAAACCTTATCATGAGTGGGACAGACCTGACACGCAGTCCAATTCTGCAGATGCAGAGGCTGTCCCTCAGAGACTCCCAGGAGGAGACCAGTGAATGCTGAGCAGCACAAGGCCTGCCCAGATGTCACATGGAAGAAAATATTCTAGGGATAATTCACTGTGTCTACTAACTCTTACTAACTGGTATAATGACTCAGTCATGGCGTGTATCTCTCACTCATATGCCTTCTTGGCCTCACCTGACATTGTGATTCGTGTGACTAACAATACCTTTGACATCACTGTAAGTAATCTTCACTATTTTAGTTGTATCACAAATCAAAGCGTATCTACTCTCAATTTATCATTAATAATTCCCATGCGCAGAAGAGCCAAACTGTGGCTCCCAGTGAACCTAACCAGAAGCTGGGAGGATGATGCAGGATACAGTAAATTAATGAAACTTAACACAATCAAGAAATCATCATTGGATAGCTAATTGCTTTTATCATCTCTGCAGTAATCATGGCAGCTATCGCAGCCATGGCTACTGCTTCATTGGCCCATTCGGTGCAGGCCACACATACAGTGGCCAGTGTATTGGGTAATATGTCAGCATCAATAGCAGATTTTTTAATAATTTGTCTGTTTTTAGTGTTTTAAGTCCTCTGGAAGCACATCAGATAAGCCCGAAGACAAGAAGCCTGGGTCCTGGCCCTCTTTGCAGTGAACCCTGCATGTCAAAACAAAAAAGGGGAAACCAAGTACTGCTCTCCCAAGCCCAAGATATTCTAGAAGTCAAATCCAGACTATACTACTTGTATGAGATGGTTGCCTGGATGGATATTAAAGTTAGTAGTTTATTTAGCATCCTTTCCTTCTGTTGAGATTTAGGTAGCACTAGAACACAGCTACCATTGTAACGTGTCAGATTTTAAGCCACAAGCTGCCCGGAGCGGTTACTTTTATTTAAGACTTTTAAAAAGCCTTTGGTTCATTATTACCTCAAGTTCATGTCCGGAGAAAACACCACTATGCTTTCTGTAAGAGAATTTCTTTTAATTTAGTGAGAAAAATAGATATTTTGGCAAA